TCCCCCCTCCTCCCTCCTCCTCCATGTGCCCCGCAGGTCCTTCAAGGTGCCCTCCTCGTCGGACTGCATCAGCTTCGACTGGGCCAGGATATCCTCGCCGCTGAGCTTGCCCTTCACCCCTGGGAAAGGGTGGCTGGAGGATTGGTATCGGAGGGGTTGGAGGAAGGAGTTGGATTGGGATGGAGGAAAGGAGTTGGATGGGTTTGCAATTGGATTGCCTCATCCACCCCATCCTCATTACTATGTCATCCTCCTCTTGCTCCTCCTCGTTCCTTCTCCTCCTCCTCCTCCTCCTCCTCCTCCTCCTCCTCCTCCTTTCTCCTCCTGCTTAGAGCCCCCTGCCTGGCCTGCGCTGCAACCTTCGCCGCGCTCCCCGACGGCGCCAGCAGCAACTTGCAGAGGGCGATCTTGTTGGTGGACTCCTCGAGCTCGGTGCGCCTGTCGCCGAGGTCGCCCTGCACCTTGGGCGTGCGCGCCCACGAGTAGTCGTCCTCCTCCCTGATACTCTTGAGCATCCTGTCGGCCCAGTCCAGAGCGGTCTTGGCGGACGTGGAAACTTTCTTGGCCTCGACGATTGCCTTGGAGACTGCATCGAGCACTTTCGGTGGCTTGGGCTGCGGTGGCGGCGAACTCTCGTCCATGCCCTGGTTGGTGAACTCCGACCACTTCTGCTTGAAGGTCTCGCGCCACTTGCGCTTGAAATGCATATACTTGCAAGCGTGGCTCATCGGGTCGAGTTGGATGTAGGGCCATCCTAGGTCTATGCATTGCTCGCATATCTTCATGCAGTTGGTCACCGTCTCCTCGTCAAGATGGCCTGTCGGGCCCCCCTCCTCGAAGCACATCTTCAGGAAGGAGCAAGGGATCCCCTCGGAGATCCATGCGTCCTCGTAGGACTTCTCCTCGATCCTGCACTTCTTCAGCACGCCCTTGTACTCCTTCTTGATCCAGTCCTCCTTGAAGGCGTCCTTGTCCTTCGCGTCTTCCAACTGCTTGGCGAAGACTTCGTCGGTCTTGATCAGCCTGCCCCAGCGGTTGCCGATCGCGGAGCGCGCCTCGAACACCAGCTGGCCGCGCTCGACCATGTCGATCAGCTGCTGGTCGCCGACGCGGGTCTTTACGGAGCCGCCCTCGGGTAGCTTCCTCGGAGCGGAAGCCTGATCGAGGCCACTGCCACCACGCTTCGCAACGCCAGGGTGCTCGCCAGTGCACCACCCCTCCTTCTCGTCGTTCCTCTGGATGGCCATGGCCTTCAGGGCTTGGTGCGCCTTCTGCGCAAGCAATGTTTTTTTATGGGGGGGTCATGGCGACGCCCAAGGCCTCGCCCTTGTTCCACTGCTCCTCTGCGACGCAGGCCCAGGCATCGGCCTCGACACGACTCGCCGACGCTGAACCGCTTGCCATCTGCGAACTGCTCCTTCTCACGCCACGTGGCTGGACCTCCACCGTGCCTGCACCGTCGAACCCTTTGCCCTTGCCAGAGCCGTCAAAGCCGCCGAAGTCCTTCCCGCCCTTGCCGAGAAGGAAGCTCCAATCCTTCCCGCCCGTTTTGCCCTTGGCCTTGCCCTTCAGGGGCGTAGTATCGGAATCGTCATCCTCATCCTCGCCCTTGCACTGGTCCTTGCCCTTGAACTTGCCCTGGCCCTTGCACTTGCCCTTGCCCTTGCCCTCGATAGTCAAGTCGTCAGAGTCGTGATCCTGGGGAGCCTGCCCCTCAGCCTCCTCCTCGGCTGGAGCCACGGGCCCCTCGGCCCCAAGCTCCTCCTCTGCCTCCTCCTCTGCCTCCTCCTCAGCCTCCTCCTCGGCTGCCTCTGCCGGAACCACGGCGAGCCCCTCGGGCGGAGCCACGGCGAGACCCTCCTCGGACGGAGCCACGGCGAGACCCTCCTCGGACGGACCCTCCTTCTCGGACTGAGCCCCAGCCTCCTCGTCGTCGAGCAGCGTGCCCCCAGCTGCCGCCCACTCCTCCACGTCTGGCCTCCACGTCCTCCACGCCCCCAGCTGCCGCGTGGCCTCCTTGGACGCAACCTCCTCGACTTCCTCCTCGGCCGCAGCCGCCCGTCCTCGCTGCAGGGCCTCGAAGCTGCCGTAGATGGCGTTGGCCGCGTGGCTGCTCCCCGCTGCTACCATCTCCTCAGCAAGCTCCTCAGCGCGCTCCTCTCCCCATACGGGCTCCGCGCCCATGAGATTCGCGGAGCCCGCCCAGTTCGTGTAGTTGCCCTTGCCGACGCCCGCAGCGGGGGAGGAAGCGGGCACGGTCTCAGCCGCGTCGTCCAAGCTCGACAACTCCACGAGCTCGCCCTGACTCTCCGCATCGGGCTCCGCGCCCTCTGCCTTGCCGAGGTCTTCACCCAGCTGCCTCGCGCGCTCCAACGCCGCTTGCTCGTTGAGGTGGCCCTGCAGCTCGGCGTCGAAGCTGTCTTGGACTCGGCGCGCCACCAGCTCGTCGTCACGCCACGGCGCTCGGAGGGCGCGTCGAGGGCGCTTCTCGGGGGGCGCCATGATCTCGAGGCACGCTTCCGAAACTGCAGCAGAAGTTATATTGTTCGTAGGGGGGTGGGCTCGAGGGGAAATGCCTATGGAAAACAAATTCTAAATTCTATAGAGAATCATCCGACGCTCGATCGTGGCCACGGCTGGTCTCTCGTCGCCACGGCTGGGCACCTTCTCGAAATTATAGCCAGAGCGCGCCCGATCGTCGCCACGGTTGGTCTCTCGTCACCACGAACTTATGGCCAGAGCGCGCCCGAAGGATGAGGGAGGGATGGGGGAGGAGGGAGGAGGAGGAGCAGGAGGAGGAGGAGGAGGAGGAGGAGGACCTTGCAGGGAAATGGGGGAGGGGGCTTTTTTTCTCCACCCTGGGCTTGTTGTTGACGGCCCCAGGTCCAGGAAACGGCCCGAGGAATAACCTCCGAGGATCGGATCGGAGGCCGATTCACGAACGAAAATCGACGAGCAACACTGGAAAATCTTCCCTCCGTTGGGAGCCGTTCCTCCTCCTCCTCCTTCTCCCGCCCTCCTCCTCCTCCTCGTCCACCTCCTTCTCCTACTCCTCCTCCTCCTCCTCCCCCCGCCCCCCCTCGTCTTCCCCCGCACCCTCCCCCCTCAAGAACAGGGGGGCACGATCGAGAGGCTCTGGAGGGCAACCTGGTTTTCTCTCACGGCGGATCCCTCTGGAGCGGCGGATCCCTCGCGGCGGATCTCATTCTAGGGTCTGCGACGGGCGGCCGAGCATCGCAGCAAGGAAGAGCGAGGGCCTGTAGGACTGGGGCTCGTTCGGGTCGGCGGCCGCTGGCTCGGGCGCTCCTGGCTCGGCCGCTGCTGGTTGTTTCGCTGCCTCGCCCTCCTCGCCCTCGTCCTCGCCCTCCCCGCCCTCGGCCGCAGCCGCAGGTCTCTTGCCCGCGGGAGGCCCCTCGTCCTCGTCATCTTCCTCCTCGTCCTCCTCGCCCTCGGCCGCAGCCGCAGGCTTCTTGCCCGCGGGAGGCTCCTCGTCCTCTTCCTCCTCGCTCTCGTCCTCCTCGCCCTCGCCCGCAGCCGCAGGCTTCTTCCTCGCGGCCGTGGCTGTGGACGCCGTCTTCATGGCGGACGCAGGCTTCCTCATGGGGGGCGGCCCGTCTTCCTCAGCACTCATAGGTTCGTCAGGTTGCGATTGCATCTCCTCCTCGGCACCCTCTTCTGCACCATCCGAATCCTCGCCCATAATGTCCGAATCCTCGCTTTTCCTCGCCGCCGCGGGGCGCAGCCTTGCCGCCGCTGGGCGCTTGGCAATCTGGTCTCCCTCCTCTTCCCCCTCTTCCTCTTCTTCCCCCTCGTCGCCTTTGCTCGCCGCCGCAGGGCGCTTAGTTGGCGGCCCGACGCCAGACGCGGCAGCTCGCCTCTTGAGAAGGGTTGGCCTCAGATCCTTCTCGCGTTCAGCCTTCAACTTTTTCACGTGGTCAACATTCACACGCCCGCCAATCAGCATCTTCGCTTTGTCGATCATCCACTCTGAAGCCACGTCCTTGTCCCAGTACTTGAAGCTCAACTGGCACTTCTGCCCCCCTGCGACCTTTAGGATGACCCCTTCTTCGCCGGGGTTCAACTGCTTGAACTCTACAGAGACCTTATCATCATTGATTCTGCTCACGCCAGTCCAAATGATATTTTTCTCGCCGTGCTCTTGCCGACTGCCTTCGTCTGCGCTTCCGGCTCGTAGGCATCCTTCGTCAATGACGAAATCATGTACTCAGAGCCGTCTGGGAACTTCGCCCACATGGGATCGTGGGCCGCGGTGCCCTTGCAGAAGATGGTCGCGGTGGTCATCTTCTTGCCGTTCACGGTGGTTGCCGCCATCCTGCTTGTAGAATCGTACAGCACGCGCGGCGGGGGCGTTGAAGGCTGCGGCATCGGGCTCCCCCCTTGCAGCTCTCTGAGTTTTTTCAGCCATCCACATTGCTTGCCCTTGGTCTTCTCCACGCGCAGGGCGCCATACATGCGGCGGCACAGCGATCTCAACCTGGGCAAGTCAAAAACAACAAACTCGCTCGCTGCCCTCCCCCCCCCCCCTCCTCCCTCCCTCCTCCCTCCCTCCTCCCTGCCCCCTCCCTCCCTCGTGGTTGCATCCCCTCGCCCCACTCCTCCCTTTCCCCATCCCTCCCTCCCTTCCCCATCCCTCCCAACTCCCTTCCCCCCTCCCTCCGACCCCCCCCCCTCCCCCTTCCCCCCCCCCCCCCCCCCCCCCCCCCCCCCCTCCGACCCCCCCCCTGCCCGGGGGGGGGGGGGGGGGGAAGGCGGACGCGCAAGGGCACACTTTGTTTATAACAAGTGGTTCGGCGCGCGGTTCTCGGGCCCCCCCCCCCCTAGTTCGCCTAGCTTCGCGCGTCGCGCGCCCGCGATGCGCGACGGGCGATTATCTTCGCGCCCTCGCGAGGCCGCCCTGGAGAAGGGCTCCTCTACAGCCTTGGCCTCGAGGCGCGAGGCACGATTATCTTCGCGCCTCTGGGGGTGACCTAGCTCCCCCTTTATATGCCGCCCATCGGCCTCCCCGCATTCGCAGTGATCCAACTCTCCTGGGCGGCCTCGCCCAGCTTCCAGTCGTCACCGTCGTTCAGCACCGACAGCACTTTCGTGAAAGCCAGCTTGCAGCACTGCTCAGTGAAGACCAGGTTGCCAGCGAGCTTCTCGAGGCGCTCGATCAGCTGAAGAGGAGGGCGAGACGAGTTCTTTTATATATTTATGTATATATATATACACAAAAAAAAAATGAGACGAGGAGGGGGAGGATGAGGAGGAGGAGCAGGATCCTTGTGGTGCAGCTGGATCTGCTCTACGCACTGATCCGTGAACTGGTCCTGGCCAGGTTTCGCCCCGTAGCGCAGCCACTGGACCTTGTCGATGGCTGGGAGCAGCGCGGACGCGAGCTGCTCGTGGTCGCTCGGGGCCGCTTTTACGTCTCTTTTCTCTCTCTCTCTCTCTCTCTCTCTCTCTCTCTCTCTCTCTCTCTCTCTCTCTCTCTCTCTCTCTCTCTCTCTCTCTCTCTCTCTCTCTCTCTCTCTCTCTCTCTCTCTCTCTCTCTCTCTCTCTCTCTCTCCTCTCTCCCTCCCCTCCCCTCTCCCCTCCCCTCTCTCCTCCCCCCCCTCCTCCCTCTCCTCCCTCCACTCTCCCTCCTCTCTCCTACCTCCCTCCCTCCCTCCGTTTCCCCCTCCCTCTTCCCTCCCCTCCTCACTCTCTCCCTCCCTCTCTCCCCTCCCTCCCTCCCTTCCTCCCCTCCTCCCCCCCTCCCTTCCTCCCTCCTCCCTCCTCTCCCTCCCTCGAACCCGCTCGGCTCCTGAACGTGGCCCTCTCGCGCGCCGCCGCATCGCCCGCAGCGTCCGCCATCGCCAGGCCCGCGAGCCCGACGCGCTGCTGCGGGAGGAGCTCGAGAGCGCGGTTAGCGCGCGGCGGGAGACGGGCCGCGAGACGGCACCGAACAGCGATCGCGTCCTCGTCCCTCTCTTCCTCCTCCTCCTCCCTCCTCCTCCCTCTCTTCCTCCCTCCTCCCTCCCTCCCTCCCTCCCGCCTCCTCCTCCTCCTCCTCCTCCTCCTCCTCCTCTTCCTCCTCCTCCTCTTCCTCCTCCTCCCTCTTCCTCCTAGGCCGTTGGCCCTTTACACGTCCAGACTGCACGATCCGTGTATACAAGGGGTGCGCCGATGTAAAGAAATGTCTAGCTATGTATATGTGTACATAAACATATGTGTATGCATATACGTATGTATGTGTACATATGAACACGCACACGTTTATATGTATGTGTATGTATCTGTGTACGTGTGAATGTATGTATGTATGTATGTGTACATATGAGTACGCGTATGTTTATATGTATGTGCATGTGTATGTGTATGTGTATTTGTCGGTGTATATGCATGTGTAAGTGTATCAGTATATGTATATGTGTAAGTATATATGAATATGATGATACGTAATTGATGATGATGATGATGCAACTGCCTAAATGCAGGCGCAACCAAGAATGATGGTCATCTAACAAGCGGTCAGACGTAGCCGGCTTGGATTAGCAAGTGGGCGACCACTGGGTCGTTGACCAACCCGGCGAAGGACAACGCCCCCAGCAGAGCTGCCGCCGGCGCCGAGAGTGCCAGGCGTGAGAGCCCATGAGGGGCCGCAGCGGGCGCCGCCGGTGCTTACACACCTGGCGCGCGCCCAACCCAAGCCGCCGGCCTTCCCGCCGTGCGTGCTTGGGTGCAGCCACCAGCCACCTGCCCCGCCGGCGAGCAGCCGCGCGCTCGCAGAGTACATCCGCCTGCGCCTTCAGCACTGGCTGATACCTCAAGGCAGACGCACGCGCATGGGCTCGTCCGTCAGGGCCCCACTAGTGCCTGGGATACTGTGGGTCCCCTTGCAGCCCTGGACGAGGACCATGCTGGAACCTGCCTGGCACGCCGGCTCTCTATACCAAGCCTGGTCGTGCCGGGCATACTGACGTCAGCTGTGATACAGTAGCTGGCAATATGACGGCCCAGTGCGGTCGCAGCACTAGAATTCATGCGCAGGCACGGGCCCGCACCCCAGCGCCGGCCCGGGGAAACCCCTCTGTCAGGGGCCGGACCCTGCCCGCCCTGTGCACCTTGGGCACCTGTGGAGGCGGGGAGCCGGGAGATCTGGAGGCCGCGGCGCGGACGGGGGTGCCAAGTACCGGCCCGTGCCGAGCGCCAGCGACGACACCTTCGAGCCTCGGCCCGAGGTCGGGCTCCGCCGGCAATCAAGGCACCGGCGCGAGCCCAAAGCCTAGCCTCACGGAGGATAGCCGCGCACGCCGGCATCAGTTGCCTGGCGGCAGTCGGCAGACAGGAGGGCCAGCGGGGCCCCACACGCACGCCGGCGCACACGCCAGGCGATGCGTGACTCAGTGCCTAGACGGCGCCGGCAGCACAGCGCCTGGCACCCAGCTTTGGCGACGCCCATCAGGGCGCCCACACAGCGCGCCGGCGCGCAGAATCCTCCAGGCGGCCAGTGTGCAGGGTCACTGGCAGCAGCACCAGTATTATTAGAACAAAGGCGGCGAGGCCCGCTTCGCGTGGCGGAAGGAGGGACCCGCCCGGCGCGTCAACGCCGGCGGGAGGAGCGCGCGGCCAGCGCAGCAGCAAAACGGGAGGGGCTGCACCGCTGCCGCCATCATCATCATCTTCTCCTGAGGGCCCGCTTCAACCGCTTCGCGGCTGGCACGTCCCGCGGCCTTAAAGCAGGCCGCGCTTTCGCTAGCGCCGTACTGCGGGGGCGGGGTCTTAGTTGTTTGTCCTAAACGGTTGGGCCCCGCCCTCCCCAGTCGGCTTGGGTTTTCTCCTCTCCCTGCCCCCGCCTCTGCCTGCCCTTCTCTTTCCCTCTCTCCCGCTCAAGCCTTCGGGGCTCAAAGCCCTCCCAGGGCCCAAAGGGGCCCTCTTTTGCCCGCCCACCCTGGGCTTTGCCACGGTGTCCGACGGCACCGGCGGCGAGGCCCGCTTCGCGCGGCGGAAGGAGGGACCCGCCCGGCGCGTCAACGCCGGCGGGAGGAGCGCGCGGCCAGCGCAGCAGCAAAACGGGGGGGGCTGCACCGCTGCCGCCATCATCATCATCTTCTCCTGAGGGCCCGCTTCAACCGCTTCGCGGCTGGCACGTCCCGCGGCCTTAAAGCAGGCCGCGCTTTCGCTAGCGCCGTACTGTGGGGGCGGGGTCCAAAGGGTTGGAAATGTTCGCAGCGCCATTTGATTTGTTCGCAAGGCCTCTTCGTCAACGCCGCTTTTTGCCGTTCATCACGTTGGAGCATGGGTCTATGGATCCAACTCCGAAGGCGATCGGGCTCCTGTGGCAATTATTCTTGATTTGCGGCCCAAGCTGCGCTATGATGAGGAAAGAATGTAATTCGATTCGATCAATCACTACTGACAACGGTGCAGAGCGATTAGTAGCAAAAAAAACTTCTGCCAGACTTTTTGGAGGCAATTGGAGCTAGACCTGCTTCTTTGAAGGAGACAAGGTTGCATAGGCGATTGTTCCCCAGGGCACTCGTGGTAAGTGGATGGGGGCACACGTGGGACAACGCATTGAAACGTGCTCTATGGTCAATGCCGTTCTTGCCCGACTGACTGATTAGATTGAAGGCAGCGTTCGGGACCCCACCCCCTCCCCCCGCAATAACAGGATCGTGTCGCCCATTAGCGCAAGGAAAGGTTAACGTGATAGTTGAGTGGATGTGCCTAGTATTACATGTGTCATGTGTTGTGCGTTTCAGCTATCATTGATTATACTTGTTGCACGAATACACTTTAATAGATGCATGTGTTCGTAGTTTCGCGTGTAGCATCCCGTGCGTTACTAAGAGCAATAGTATGCAATGGTCTTGCTTATTTCTGCCCCCAGTGGAAAATGCATCATCGTCCAGGGGGGGCCCGAAACCCCAGCTTCTAAAAGCGACAACGTTCGCAATGCACCTGTATGGGCCTATGATGGCCTGACGGGGCACTTGGCAATATAGTTCGTAAACGCTTACTGTGTAGGGATCGTGAAGAATGGGGGCTCTGTTGTCAGTGATGGTTGGTCGGGTTGATCGCCGCTGAAGGCTGTCAATTACTTCTTGCGAGATGTGAATACGCGGGCTGCATTGACGACGGACTTGGCCAACAAAGGTCTGACTGGGTTGGCACGCGCAATACGGGATGCATCACTACCAAACTTCGCACAGTGGAGGTGGGCCACTTTAGACAAGGTGCCTGCTGAGCTCGACTGCTTTATCGTACCACTATCCCAACATTTCGACAGGACCATATTCCGGAGGGTAGCAGAGGCAGAAAACACAACCAGACTGCGATTGGTGACAGAGGCCCTGGGTAGCCGAGAATGGTTTCGACAGTTTGCAGCCGTCAAATGGATGTGCAGCTGGCGTTGCAGGATCATGGAGCATGCTGGTGCTTGCCCCTGCCATCTGGAAGAATTCTTCAGAGGCGAGCAAGTTCAGTGCCGACGCAAGGGGCGCGCGCTGCATCTTTGCTTCGATGTTGCCGTGGGGCGTTTGCGCGATGGCCTTGCTGAAGTAAATGCTTGGATCCCCGCCCAACATGGAGGCATCGGCTTATGGCAGCTCGTGCAAGGCGCGGCTCGCGGTGCGTTCATGCATGCTCAGTCTAAGATCAAGCCGTACGACAACATACCCTACCTTGTCAGCAGGCTCGGAGAGCCTGGAATCAAGGCGAGAGCCTTGGCACAGTTCTATCGAGTTCCAACTGATCAACATGACGATGCGACTTTGCACATAATGACAGGGCCTTTACGGGCCGACTTCGATAATCTTGCCGATGACGGGACCAACATGACACCTGCGTTGGCGAGCGAGGCTTCCTCTGGTAAATAGTGTCCACGTACTTAACGCAAGCCAGTTTCGATTAGCAGCCCTCCCCCTCTGCAGGTGTTGTCCTTTGCGTGTTCCTGTAATTCCGAGTCTCTCCTCTCCCAGCAAGGTTGCACCCATTATGAATGTCCCCATTGACGACGCAGTCGCTGGAGGCCCTCACAGCCTTGCGAAGCGATTGCGAGAAAATTGTCGGGCTGCTGGTTGGCCCTGGGCGGCGAGCTCGTTGCGACTTCATCAAAATCTCAAGGACATCGAGGCTCCTGGGTCCGATTTCCGATATGCAGAATATCAATATACTGCCGTGCGTTATAGCT